TGAAGTATCTGTTTCTATATCTCAGTATCTATCCCAATAGCTTGTGTGTTTGCTTGTACTTGACTGCTATGGAAAGGAATGTTAGAGAATTTTCCTCTAAGAGCACTGTCGGATGAATGTTTGGAAGAGTGTTGTGAGATGATCTTGCACAATAACCGTGCACTTAGGGGAACGGAGTACAATCCAACATGGGGAAATATCAATTGTGGGAAAGTTACGCAAATGCATTAAAGGGAAAAATCTGAACTATTTAGGCACCCTCTATGTTTTACAGCTAGGATAAAAGAAATGAAGAAAAAAGAGGTGACTTAAAAAGCTCAATGCAGTTTGAATTCTTTGACAGAAGAAAAACATTACTTTTAGAATGAGAATGGCTCTCATACCTGGGGAAAACACCTTTAAAGACAATGAGCTGTTTTGAAAGGCATAGTCTAAGTGCAAGTGTTTTAGACAAATAAAATCTAAAATCATTCTACAAAATAGAAGAAATGTTAATTCCCGACAGCTGGAAAAACAAGGGTTTTGGTAGTGAGAGGAGGCTTGAGCAATACAGCAGCCAGCACGGTCCTGCAGGGAAGAGTAACTAGAGACTAATCCCCCGGAGAACGGACGACCAGGAACCTTTAGCGGGGGTGCATATGAATCACTTTCTCTTCCGGGGCATCACCTAAGCCCCCACCGGACCCCCAGCCTTCATGGAAACCCCATCATACCGCACAGTCAAGTGTCCGGAATTGTTGGATGAAAAGTGGCCGGGGGATGAGTGAAGGAAAAGTAGTCATGGTCAGCGAACCAATGGGCTGGGGATCCAGAGTTGGACAGAAGCAGGAATTCATAATAATCCTCAGGATTCCCCTTAAATCTCAGGCAAGACACGGATTTTGCCTTGTTTTTCCAACTGCTACTGGTCATTTATCTATCTATCTATCTATAATATGTGTAACATCTACATTAATTTTATTAAGTAAGCATATATTATAGACTGCTACTTTAATATGAAGATGCAAAGATCAAGAGGAAATACTTCCTATTTTAAAAATAAACGTGATTGTTGTGAAGACAGGTCAATAAACCAACATTGCAATCATTTTGATATACATGATAGTGAAGGTATTTGGAGGGCTTTTGAAAGGAAGCAAAGAAGAAATGATTAGAGATTATGAAGGACTGAAGATAGAAAATGAATAAACTCTACACTAGCACATTTCTTTACATGGGTCTTCTGGTATGCAATGGAACGATTAGTTTAGTTTTACCCGATTGATAGGACCTTTGAAGAATACATTTTGATAGAAATCCTGTTTATTCTTAAGCATTTATAAATCTTTTAAAATATCAGTGAGTTTTAAAATAACAGCATTTTAAAATAGGGACTTCAAATTCCCTTTCTTCCATTCTGGGCATTCACTGTTTCTAGAGTTTAAGCCGAAACCAAAATAAGCCTTTTAAGTCTATGCTATGAGGGTTTAACTTGTAAAAGAAAAAAATAAATTAAAAGTTAATGTTATTGGATTTCTTATCCCACGGGGTAAAAAATTCCAATTTTAAAGACTATGGAACAAAAAAAGTCTTGATCTATGTGCCCAGAAATCAGTCTCATCACCGTCTAGAGGCAAATAGACAGAGATGATATTTTCAGGCTAGGATGACACACAGGACCTCAGCTAACTGATTATTTTGGTTGTCTTAATACAGACTAAAATAAAATTAATTTGATTTTGTTATTGTAATTTACTGAAAAGGCAGTTATGAGATTTCATCTGTTCTTGCTATAGTCAGAGTATAAATGTGAACCTCTTTGTGCTCAGATATGAAGCTACCAATGGCAACCAGCTGTAAAACATTTCTTTGCTGTTTGAAATCAGCATAATTAAACTGAAATAGATTTTATCATTAAACTAGGTTGTAGAAAAAAGTCTTTCAAGCAATTTTGAGATTTGTTTTTATTTATGGAGTCATGCCAATACACAGTAAAATTAAGAAATTAATTCACCAGTAATTTCAAAATAATACCACAAACCACATTTTCTGTAAAGGACCAAATATTAGGTACAATCACAAAACATTTCAACATCCATCAAAACCAGAATCATATAATTTCCCCAAGAAAACACATTGAAATTCTTCTGTATATAGAATATTAAGCTCAGGGATACAAGACATTTGAAAAATAGTTTCAGAACTGGAATACTAAGTATACAACATTAATTCTAATAAATTTGTTACAATAATGAGCTAATGCATTATAGAATGTGTCATAAATCCTGTGATATAAATACAACTACCTTTATGTGTAGAAATGCTAATTATTTTATATTAATAATAATAATTAATTATTCTGATATTACCATCAGGTCTATTCTCAGATTTTCTACTTTATTATTTTCTAACTTGACCCTGGGACACAAAATTATTTAATTCTCTCTTTGACATTTTGTTTTTATTTAGCATATAAATCAATGTAAAAATATGATGTGATTTTATATTTTATAATAAATATAATAGCATTTAATTTTTAGCTATAACACATATTTTTGATACTGACTTATCATAGGTCAAATATATTTTTATTCATGATAATTTATTATACTTAAAAAACTGAGAACAGTATTATTTAAATGCCTATGTATGCAATGTAATCACACAATTTGTGTGACTCAACCCATTTAGGGTGCCTTGAGGACATAGCTCTTATGAATAACTCTTAAATTTTGCTTAAATGGGCTGAAGTCAAATTGTAATAAAGAATTATTCTCTAGTATGTATTGTTCTTTGTTGCTGATTATTCCAGCTGTTGTCGATGATGCTGAGTGCGCTAAAAGGGCCACAAGGAAGGAGAGAAAGGAAGAAGGGGCAGCTTCTACACCTTCTGACTAGCTTTTCAGATGGCCCTGCCCTGGGCTTACTCTAAATAGAGCTGCTGCCTCCAGTGTGAAAATCAAAAAGGGCTCAGTTTACGTGGGTCTAAAGGAGACTATTCTCTGATATTTGGGGTGAAGGACTCGGCCTAATGTCTCCCTAGAGACCTCCTAATCATGCTTTGGTGGTAGAGAAAACTCTGAAGCTATAATTTAAAGCTCCTAGTGTCCAATTACATTATGAAAATGTAGGTTTTAGGATCTGAAAAACATAAAACTTTAATATAATTGGATTGTTTTACTTGTGTAATAACAGATTAAAGTTGGGTTTCTTAATCATTAATGGTTTGTCCATTCTAGGAACTATAATAAATTTAGGAGGATACTGCATGTTATTAGGACTACTCAAACTTTTTTTCTCTTTAAAAACCACACACTTCCCCCAATTATGGTTAAAGACTGCTTTGATGATGATAGAAATTCTGCATGTAAGACAAGTAGATAATTAACTATGGAAGTTCACTAATTTTCTTCACAGTTATATTCCAAATGGTATTTTAGTATAAAAGCTGGGTAGTTTTATCCCTTAAAAAATACATGCCCCAAAGTTAAAACATTATGTACTTTAAAATGTTTTTTTTTAATCATCAATTAATATTTATGAAATGCCTAACACACAATACCACAAATTTCTCCTTACGGGTGATTATTTAGCAATCACTTTTCCATACCCACATAGATAGATTAATATTGTGTACTTGCAGGATCTTGCCACAGATAACTCGGCAAAATAAAATAAGGTGGTAGAACACATTCATTCGTAACTACAAGCCTTCATTTGGCATACTATCAGATCTTCTCTTTGGTCAAGAAAAGGAAGTCTCTTCCCAACACAGCATTTTTCCTTACCACCCACTATTTCCTTTTTTCTGAAATAGACAAGCAAAACTACTTCAATTTGGAATATTGTTTTGGGACATATGAATGTCATTCATAGGTGTATAACATTAAGAAAATCCAGCAACTATAAAAGTGAAGCTTCTCAGCCTAAACCTCAGAGCAAGACCATATACTTGCATAGTGCAAAATTAGCACTATATTGTCTGGTGTCTCCCCAGTCCCTTTTTCCATGTCTTGTCTCTTCATGCATTTAAAAGGAGGATACACAGCTGGGTAGGCTGGTATCAAATAAGACTGCACCTTATTTGACAGGTGTTCCTAGAAATAAAATTCAAACTTCATTGTTTAACATTTTGACAAACTATACAAAAACCATGAGGTTATTATTTTGCAAATAGATTTAGAAAAAAAATGGGATCATCTTTGTTCCAACCCAAAAAGCTTTAGTTTTTTAACTAAGTTGTCAAAAGGGCTGACAATGTTACAAGAGGGCAGAATTACTAAAATGCTGCTATGCCTCAAATAACAAAGAATTGATAAATTTAATTGATGGCTCATACTGGACAGTGCCCTTTAAGAAACATATTTTTTATTTCTGAAAAGCAGAATTCTAAGACCTAAGGGCTTAATCTTTATAAAACATTTGCAAACTTTTTTTTCGGCATATCAATCCAGGGAGTAAGAGACCTGAGAATTTGGAAAGGCAAGAGAATGAAGAGGAGTGAGGTTGGTGGTTCCAGGTTCTCACAGTGCCAGCCAGTCTTCAGTTTCTTATCCACAGAGCCAATTAAAGAACCAAAAATACTATTAAAATAACTGTTACCTCCTTTAAAAGATACAAAATACTTATGATGTATCCTCAAATCATTGCATGGTCTCCAAGAAGGAAAAGGAGTCAGACAAAATAGCTTGAAAAAACCCCAGTTCCATTAATAAAAAAATGCAGTAACAGCAGCCAAATAGTGTTGTAATCTATCTCTGTTTAGAAATGGAAGAAACTGATGATCTTGGCTGGCTTTGATTTACCTGCAGTCAAAGGAAAGCAAGTTCTATCTTTAACTTGGAAAACTGAATTTAGGTGGATGCCAGGCTTAAGTGGCCACTGGCAGTACTTTCCAATAAATCAGTGAAGCTATATTTAAATTTTAGGATTTTTATACCCTAGACATGAAACCAACAAGTTCTGGTTAATACAAAGTAAACAAAACAAAAAAAAAAGGCTGAGCAATTCTGAAGGCCCCAAGACTATAATAAAAGCAACTGCTATCACTTGTATAGGATTTGGCAGTTTATTTATGAAGGTCTTTCACACACTTGATTTCATTTAGTCTTCACAGTAATCTTGGGAGGTTGTTACCAACTCGATTGTGCAGCCAGGGAAATAGAGACTTCTTGTATTTTTAAGTAACTTGCCTAAAGTCATGCATTTAATAATGAAGGAAGCCCGATGAGGTACAGAGCAGTTTTCTCTCCACCTCCATGGCATCGCGGCTGAAACCCTGCCTCTCTTCTTCTGACAGCGAGATGGGTGGGAGATGAGAAGGAAAGACCAAGTTCCTTATAATAAATGTGAGGGGACCTTGTGTCTTCTGAATCGCTTTTTAGCAGACTCCCTTATCTATGAATCTGGATTCCCCAAACATAAAGTAGTGCTCATGTTAATATCCAGCATACCCTTTTGTTAAAGGGTTCTGTCCAATAGCACAGCATTATAGTTTGACACTGGTCAAAACATGTTTACAGTGTTCCAGAAAAAGTCTGCTTAGTACCTTGGGCAATCCGCTTCTATTCTTCTCATAAAATTGTGTATTCCTGACTGCAAATCTGACTTTAAAATTACCACACAGTGGGAGAAAAAAGAAAATATCAGCTAATGGACACTTTTTTTCTAACCTTCAGTATCTTGGTCCATTGGCTTTTCACAACTTATAAAACATGAGGAACCTAAAGAAGGGAACTGCCAGTACTAAAGTTCCTGTTTTGAAATCTCAGTGATTCAAATCTACGTTCTAGTAGAACTTTCCTCTTCCCACTCTGAACCAGGCACCCCCTGCTCACGTGTGCCTCTAGCACTCATGCCTCTCCAAGGCACCACCCCATCTCTAGGCCACTGTTTGAGGCTGCATTTTCTGAGGTATAAGCTGATCATACTGGATGGGAATAATTTCTTTGAAGTCTCTTCTAATGCCTTCCGAACACTAAGGCTGATTGAGGGTGAGCTCACATTATTCAGAAATAAGGTCCCCACATTATATGACTTTTAAACCAATCAAACCTTAGTTATGCCAGAAACAAAAAGAAAACAAAAGAAGCCAACAGTAGAATATAAAGTCAGGATGGTTATGACTTTTCCTTTAGAAACTTGTTATATTTATTTCTGGGAATTAGGCCTGAAAATTTTATCACCATTCTGTATAAGACAATTCATAGCTTTTGGTCATAGCAGTATGCCAATGCAAATAGAAACAAGAGCCTTGTACCCAACGAATTAATTTATGCTTATCTCACATAGTTCATTTGTTCTCATGACTGCTAGCTGGATTCAGCCAATGGGCCAGAAAGTCTGTTAGAAGAATCAGCTGCATGATTTAGGGGCTCAGGTTGAAACAGGAATGAATTTGATGAACTTGGAAGATTTAGGTGAGTCCTTCCAAGTAATCATACTGTTTGTCGGGCTTCGGTTGTTAGTGTAAGAAGTCTGTCTTCTGCTCATGCTGTCAGAATCGTCTTTGTTGAATGTTTGCCTCATGTTTTGGCAGCAAGGGAAGCTTTGGATGCAGTCTTGTAGGAGATGGCCACTAAAAAACATGTATATCCAGGGGTTGCAGCAACTATTCAAGGAAGCCAGTAATGCAGTGATGGTGATGGTTGGGTTTTCTGACTCTAAGGAAAACATAAGGGGAGATTATTCAAATAGTCAAATGCAAGTAACTGAGCACTGGATAAATTTATATTTCTACTGACTAATGAAAACAGGAAAAATTTATGGGTTAATATAGACAATGAAGTCTTTTGCTAATCAATCAGGGAATTTACTTGGTTATAAATATTTTCATAAGCAAAATGCTTTGAATTTGCTTTGTATATGGAAATTGCTTGGTTATAAAATATTTTCATAAGCAAAATGTCTGAAATTAATTCAAATATTTTAAAACACTATTAAAATAATTAAAAAGAAGTGGAACTTTTAAAGGGTTAAGAATATTAAGTAATTTTTTAAAGAAAATTTTGTATCTTTTATACCAGCACCAGCATGTGCTAAAGGACACAGCACTTACAGAACAGCTGCAATTTCAATGAAATTTCAAGAGTCTGTAACCACATACACCAAACTGTAGTCATCCCAATAACTTGGGCAAAAGTATGACATCATGGACCATGTTTAGTAGTTTTAAATTTTTTACTATTGAAACATATTCTTGTAATAACAAAACTATATAGAAAGGGATAGTTGAAATAGGTCTTCGAAGGATATAATTAATATTTAGTTGTTTTTCTTTGGTTAATTAGAAAATTCTTTTGATTTTAAAAGAAAACCATCTTTGATTGTGGCTTAAACAATTAAATTATATTATTATTAAGAACAGCTGAATTAGAAAATTCCAACAGGCTTTTGAAATATTTTATGTAAGTTTGCACTTGTAAACTCCACACATTTTATAAACTTCCACAGTAGATAATAGATAATCCACAGTAGAATAATAGATAATATGCCTTTTCTGAAGATAACAATAATCAGTAAGTACTGACTTTCCCTTGATTATAAAATATAAGTATGGGTCTTCTCACTCATGCTATGCCAGAATAAATTACAGGTTATTTCATCATTCTATATTTTTAAAGGTGGTCATGATCCATGACTAAGACAAAAAGAATGGAAATCATCAACATACCTACACATGAGTAAAGAAGTTTTTAGTAATCATGTCTAAATCCTGATATGGTAATTATTAGACTGAATTTTTGTTTGATTAGCAATAACTAAGAGGCTGCTAAGACCAAACAATCAGGCAATGATAAACCCAAAATATAGCATTTATGTTCTACTTTTCATCTGCAATACTATATTCATACAAAAATTTTCCTTCGTTTGAATTAAATTCACTCTCATGTTTTGTTTGCACATATAACTTCCAAGGTATTTTACATATACTTCATACCCAATCCCAAATAACAAGACAGTTCTTCCCAGATACCCATTTTCCAAGCACAGATGTTGTTGGTAACACTCAGTAGTAGAATTCTTTTGAAAGTTTTTTCTTACTAAAAGGAAAATTTTTTCAACATACAATATTAAACAATTCCCTTTGGGGTATATTTGTGTAAAGCTAATTTTTCTAGTTAGTGTAGGAATGAAAATCAAACAAATTAGTAGGTGTAGAGAACATTCTTGGTAAACTACTGCAAGTGTTGCACAAAGAGGTATATGGATGTGTGGTGAAGTTACTGCTGAAAGACTAATTAATTAGTCTAACAAATTAAGAGTTTTTAATAATCCTGCTTTGAAATACCAGAAAAAGAGTGTTAAAGCAATTGTTAGAAAAAAAAAAAAGATGATAAGAAATGGAACATTAGCTAAATGCCAAATTAGAACTGACTTCTTAAGAATTATTTCTTCAGAGAAAGTTTGTCTGTTTTACCCTTGCCCTTGGAGCATTTCTACAAAATTTTTGTATTAATTGTGATATTTTTCATAGACTAGCAAAAAGCAGTTGTGACTAAAAATATTTCCTTGAATCCAATAGATTGGAAAGCAGGTAATTAACACAGAAGTTAGTGATTGGCAAAAAAGTCATTCTGTTTTTGTAGCTGTGTGCCTCACCTTAGGGCACAGTTTCTGGATTTGTGGTCTTGCGCGCACTGCAAACTACAATTGCAGATTCCTGGGCCCCATTCCAGAGCTACTGAATCAAAAGGTCTGGGGCAGGGACCCCAGGAATTTGCCTTTTTGATAATTTCAGGCAAGGTGTGATTCTTAAGAGGATATTATAAAAAGAACCCCCAGCCTTAACTCCCCCGGCTCCATGCCTGTACCTCCTCTATTGTCCCGACACCTACCGACCCAGATGAGGTTCTCATCCCAGACAGACCACATCTGGACGATGAAGAAGGGCGCCCAGCAAATGATGTAAGCCGTCACGATCACGAAAGTCATCTTCACAGTACGGATCTTGGCGCGGGAGATGGACTTTATGCTGCTGACACAGGGCTCTAGGAGGAGCCCGTTGCGGAAGGCACTACCGGTGCCCTCGGCACCCTGCCCCTCGCGCGACGCCGTCTTCCTGCGGACGTTGCGCCAGATGTGGTAGCAGATGAAGCCGTAGCAGGTGGTCAGGATGACCACCGGTGCCACAAAGATACCGCTCGTCATCCAGGTCACGTAGGCGCGGGAACCCCAGGGCTGGATGAAGTTGGCCCAGCAGTCGTAGGTCTTGGTGACGTTGTTCACCTGGACCATGGAGAAGACGAAGTACTGCGGCGTGCTCAGCACGAAGCTCAGCACCCAGGCGGCAGCGATCATGAGGCGAGAGCGGCGCGCGGGTTGCTGCAGCGTCTTCAGCGGGTGGCACACCGCGATGTAGCGATCGGCCGTCATGACTACTAGCATGTAAGCCGATACGAACATGACGAACACCTGTAGGTGCTTCACCACGCGGCACAGCCCATCGGAACCCCGGAAGCGGTAGGTGATGTCCCAGCACAGCTGCGGCAGCACCTGGAAGAAAGCGACGGCCAGGTCCGCCAGGCTGAGATGGCGAATGAACAGGTGCATGCGAGACGTCTTGCGAGGCGTGCGGTGCAGCGCCAGCAACACCGCACTGTTACCCAGCACAGCCACCACGAAAGTTACGGCTAGTACAGCGATCTCCAGCTTGGCTAGCTCCTCGTTGCGCCGGTCTCCCTGCGGACCTCCGCCTTCCCCGAACGCCTCCGTTTCCCTACTGGTATTGGCTCCGCCGGTGGTCAGAGGCCACCACGGGCTGGAGTTGTTCGCGGACCCCGCACTGGGGCCTCTGGCGAAAGGCATGCTGTCCATGCGGCGCCCCCTCGACCTCTGCCGAGGCTCGCTCCCTTCCCGCCTCGGCGGGCGTGGGCTCCTTCCAGATGCGTTCTCTCCTGCCAGCACTCGCAGCTCGTCGGGGTCCTCTCTCCCTTCCGCAGGCGCCTCCCCACGCTGCGTCCCACCCGCCGGCTGAGCTGCTCTCGATCCCGTCGCCGGCAGCTCTTCCTGCTCTGTGCTTCCCCAACGCGGGCGAAGCTGGGGCTGGGGAGAGGCGCTCCGAGCCTCTACAAAGCACTGGGCTCCAAACTCAATGATTTAGGCGAGGTTTGTTTCCCCAGAAAGCGCTCCCTCTCGCCCCTGTAGTTGGAGAGTGCTCGGTGCCTACTCTCTCCACCTCCCTGCCCCCGTTCCCGGCTGGTTGTTTATTTTCCCTTCCTTACGTCGGTGATTTGTCCTCTGCATCACTACTGCAGGGGTGGGGCTGGGAGACTTGCCTATTCCTCCGTGCAATAGGCGGGATCGTGGCGCTCTCCCGCTCCTCTCGTCCCAAAATCTTGGAGACCAGGACGAGTCATGCCTTTTCTGGGCTTACCACCATTTCCTTGTGCCTCCCTGAATAGCCACCTTAAACCCGCGTTTGACTTCAAAAGAGGCGTTCAATATTTTACCTAGAAATCCCGAGTTCACCGCCAGGCGCGCGCGCTCTTGCTACTGCATTTGGCTCAGGACTTCACCTCCTCCAGCCTGGGCTTCTCCCGACGCAGCGAGCCCGACTAATTTTATTCCCACGACAGTTTGGCTACGGGAATTCCAACTCTCCCAGTTCCGCCATCCCCTCCTCCTCCTCCTCTACCGGGTAGCAACTGGGTGACTTAGAGCGCATAGTCTCCGCAGCAACTTCTTTGCCGGCTCTGTTACTCCGCCTACGTTCGCGACCGGGAAGTTTGCGCTCACTTGTGCCGCTGCAGCCCTCGTGGCCGCCGTGCGTGTATCTACATCAGGAAAAAGGCGCCTCTGGCGGTTTTCCAGTTTCTCCCGGGGACGGGGGTGGGGGTGGGGGGAGACTAACGGAGTTTTCTCTAAATTACATTCTTGGGGTTTTCTCCGGGGAAAAGCCGGATTCTCACAGAGGGGATAGGCGGAAATTGGGCCACAGTAGTCCGTGGGGACATCTCTCCGAGTGGACAGAAAGCAGCTGCCGGGCAACGGCCACCCAGGCAATGCTGGCCAGGGCACTCGAGCAGAAAATCTGCCGGGCCCCTGCACTGGAAGGGGTCGGGAGGTGGGGTGGGCTGAGAAAGAGTGAGTTTCCAGGCAGGAAGGAAGCGCTATGAAGGAAGAGTTCTAGAAAAGAACACCTTCCTATTATGAATTAGCTACTCTGGACAGCTGGAGCTCAGCCGCGGGCCCAAGCCCGGTAGAACTACTGTGTGAACTCTGCATTTTAACTTTGGTGAAGAAATGCTTCGAAGGACAGCAAGGGGGAGCTGTTTTCAGGCTATTTCACGAAAGGAAAAAAAAAATGAAGAAAAAGAACAGAACGCTATAGGGTTACCCACACCTAGTCTGTAGATACATGAACATGACTTTTTAATCAGAATGTTTGTGTATTGTGTGGCTGTGGTATAAATTTGATGGTCTCAGAAAAATATCTGTGAAACACAGGAAGAGAAACCAAAGGTTTTCTGAGGTGCAGTTCTCAGTGGAAATTCCACTTTGCTCCCCAGTTCCTTCATGCAGAGTCCCAAGGTTCTGACATTGAAGGTGCTGGATTTGACCTTTGGAGTCCTGCTTCACTGCGGCTGTATAAGCCTCGGTTGATACATCTTAAAAACGGGAATAAAAGTACCCACTTGACCCCGTTATCATGAGGATCAAGTAAGACAACCTTCTACGTGGGGAAATGCTCTCAAAACCACAAGCTACCTTGCCTTGGAGAAAATTCCTATTCTCCAAGATATTTAAGAAGAAAAAGATTTTTAAACTTCAGAGATGGCAATAAGTAAAAGGTTTCTAGACCACTTGCCTGGAAAAATCCTTCAAGCAGTTACATAGTGGTCATTGACTCAGAGAAGTGACCTTCTTTAAAGTCACAAATTACACTGTTAGTGCTCCTTAGAAGAAATAGTATCTGACTGTGGAGTCCCTGGGTATTGCAAAGTGGTCCATTGAGCAGGACCAGGCAATTTTATTGCTCTTGGCCCTACCCCTTTGAGCATTTAGATTTCCTAAGGGGATGGGGAACCTACACTTCAGTTACCAAAGTTCTTTTGGGTGTTCTTACTCCAGAAACATGGTGGTGGCCTCTCAGGAAATCATTCATCTGTGTCAAGCCCTCTGATCCAATAATCGACAATATCCAATTTATAAAAAATAACTTGTTAGCTACATCAGTGAGCACAGTTGGAAGATATTCAGTGAACAACAGTACTAATTAATTACCCATATATAGTGTGTGTATTTGACACATCTAGAGATATATATATGGGTATATATATATTTCAACAGGGAAAAATTTTCAATGAAGATTCTAGATTCCACTCCCTCTTTTAATCTACATAGTTTTATTTTTTAATTTTTAAATTTTTTTGTAGGTATTTTCTTCATTTATTTACTAGAATCAAAAAGGGAGATGCTCAAAGAGGTAATTTCTGCAATTCATTCTTTCAGCATTTCCTAAAGAATTGCAAATTTTCCCTGTGCCACTATTTTGCTAACAAAATGAGCCTTAGTTATTTGGCAAAAACATGCTTTGGTTTAACATTTTTTGGAAGCATGTACAGCCCATTCTTTTAAGGTCATTCCTTTAAAAAGACAGTTAACAACTCTTCCTTGAAAATGCCCAAATTCAATTACAATGTAGCAATTAATCAACAAACCAAGTAGTACCCACAGTACGTTTTGCATTGCATACAATGCTGTAGGAAAAAGAAAAGCTCGTTATTCTTCTTAACTTAATTTTTACGGAAACTTTCAAACACACAATATAGAAAAAAATACTATAATGAATCCCATATATCCGTCACCCAGCTTCAACCGTTCTCAGCTCATGGCCAGTGCTGTTTTACCCACTCCCCCACCTAGCTCCTTCCTCCTGCCTTATTTTAAAGCAAATCCCCAGTGGTCATATCATTTCATCTCTAGCTGTTTCTTTCTTAAAATTTTTAAAAATTATTTGTTTATTTATTTGTTTTTATTGTTCAAGGACAGTTCTCTCCATTTTCCCTCCACCACTTTCCCCTGCCCCACCCACCCCCACCTCCCACCCTCCTTCCTTCCCCCCTTTGGCTTTGTCCATGGATCCTTTATAGGTGTTCCTTGATTTGACCCTTCCCCTTTCTTTTCCCCTGTTATCCACCCCACTCTGGTTACTGTCAATTTGTTCTTTATTTCAATGTTGCTGTTTATATTTTGCCTCTTGTTTGTTTTGTTAATTAGCTTCCACTTATAGGTGAGATCATATGGTATTTGTGTTTTGCCACCTGACTTATTTCACTTAGCATAATGCTCTCCAGTTCCATCCATGCAGTCACAAAGGGTAGTAGTTCGTTCTTTCTTTCTGCTGTGTAGTATTCCATTGTGTAAATGTACCATTGTTTTTTTTAACCACTCATTTATTTATTTTTTAATTAATTTATTTTTTTCAAATACATTTGTCTCTGCCTTCTCCACACCACTTTCCCTTGTCCCCTCCCCCTTCCTCCCTCAACCCTTCCCCTTTGGTTTTGTCCATGAGTCCTTGCTATATGTTCCTTGACTTGCCTTTTCCCTTCCTTTTCCCCCCCACCCCTCCCCCCTCCTTCCCTCTTGTCTCTGTTGGTTTCTTTTCCTTTCAGTGTTTCTGGTATTATTTTCCTTGCATCTTTGTATTGTTGGTTAGGTTCCACTTATAGGTGAGATCATATGGTATTTGTCTTTCGCCCCCTGGCTTATTCCGCTTAGCATAATGCTCTCCAGTTCCATCCACGCTGTCGCAAAGTTTAGTAGTTCTTTTTTCCTTTCTGCTGCGTAGTATTCCATTGTGTAAATGTACCATAGTTTTTTGATCCGGTCATCTACTGATGGACATTTAGGTTGCTTCCAACACTTGGCTATCGTAAATTGTGCTGCTATGAACATTGGGGTGCATAGGTTCTTTTGAATTGGCGTTTTGGGATTCTTAGTGTATAGTCCCAGCAGGGGAATCACTGGATCAAAAGGCAGTTCCATTTTCAGCTTTCTGAGGAAATTCCGCACTGCTTTCCACAGTGGCTGCACCAGCCTGCATTCCCACCAACAGTGGACTAGGGTTCCCTTTTCTCCACAGCCTCGCCAGCACCTGTTGTTTGTTTATCTGTTTATGATGGCCATTCTGACCGGTGTGAGGTGGTACCTCATGGTGGTTTTGATCTGCATTTCTCTGATGGCTAGTGCTGCTGAGCATCCTTTCAAATGCCTCTGGGCCCTCTGTATCTCTTCCTTGGAAAAGCGTCTGCCCAGGTCCTTTGCCCACTTTTTGAATGGATCGTTTTTCTTCTTGGAGTGGAGTCGAGTGAGTCCTTTATATATCTTGGAGATCAAACCTCTATCTGATGTATCATTAGCAAATATATTTTCCCATACGGTTGGCTCCCTTTTCATTTTGCTGATATTTTCTTTAGCCGTGCAGAAGCTTCTTATTTTGATGAGGTCCCACTTGTTTATTCTTTCCTTTATGTCCCTTGCTCTAGGAGACATATCAGTGAAAAAATTGCTGCGTGGAATATCTGAGAGTTTCCTGCCAATGCTCTCTTCTAGGACTTTTATGCTGTTGCAACTTATATTTAAGTCTTTTATCCATCTTGAGTTTATTTTTGTGTATGGTGTCAGCTGATGATCCAATTTCAATTTTTTGCATGTAGCCGTCCAGCTCTCCCAACACCATTTGTTGAAGAGGCTATTATTGCTCCATTTTATGCTTCTGCCCCCTTTGTCAAATATTAGATGTCCATAGAGACCTGGGCTTATTTCTGGGCTTTCTATTCTGTTCCACTGGTCTATGGGTCTGTTCTTGTGCCAGTACCAGACTGTCTTGAGTACAGTGGCTTTGTAGTAGAGTTTGATGTCCGGTATTGTGATCCCTCCTACTTTGTTTTTCTTTCTCAAAATTGCTGCGGCTATTCGGGGTCATTTATGGTTCCATCTAAATTTTTGAAATGTCTGTTCTATTTCTGTGAAATACGTCATTGGTATCTTAATAGGGATTGCGTTGAATCTATAAATTGCTTTGGGGTAGTATGGACATTTTGATGATATTAATTCTTCCAATCCATGAGCATGGTATATGCTTCCATTTATTTGTGTCTTCCTTAATTTCTTTCTTCAATGTTGTATAGTTTTCTGCATACAGATCTTTTACCTCCTTGGTTAAATTTATTTCTAGGAATTTTATTTTTCTTGTTGCTATATCGAACGGTATTTTTTTCTGATTTCTTCTTCTATTGCATTGCTGGTGTACAAAAATGCCTTTGATTTCTGAATATTGACTTTGTATCCTGCTGTTTTGCCCAATTCACTTATTAGGTTGAGGAATTTTTTGGTAGAGTCTACAGGGTTCTCTATGTACACTATCATGTCATCTGCAAACAATGATAGCTTTACTTCCTCCTTTCCTATTTGGATGCCTTTTATTACTTTTTCTTGTCTGAGCGCTGTGGCTAGGACTTCCAATACAATGTTGAAAAGAAGTGGTGAAAGTGGACATCCTTGTCATGTTCCCGAAATTAGTGGGAAAGCTTTCAGTTTTTGCCAATTGAGTATGATGTTGGCTGTAGGTTTTTCATATATGGCCTTTATTATGTTGAGGAATGCCCCATTTATTCCCATTTTGCTGAGTGTTTTGATCATAAATGGGTGCTGTATCTTATCGAATGC